TATGGATTTCTAAGCAAATCAGCATTTGCAGTTTTATTATCTGGTAATTGCAAGGTAGAAGATGAAATAAAAGAAGAAGCATCACAAGAACCCAAAGCGCTACTGTGAGATATACCATATGGATGAGCCTTAGTTGTCATGGTTGTCTCAGTAGGACCAGAAGGTGTAAACCTCAACTTTGTTTGTATACTGGGTTTTTTAGCTTGTGACAAGTGACTACTTCCCTTTCTTTTAGTTCCCTTCCCACCAAGTATCAAAGGCACATAATGATTGTGTTTGAATGCAGTTGCTTGAGGAGCTAAACCTTCAAAGCAAAAGAAAACTCGCAAATAATTACTAGTGGAAGCACAAGCTCTAGATAGAGTTTGAGGTTCAATTCTTTGGTTAAATAATAAATCCCACCTATAAGCACTAGAGTATATGTCAGGATAAATAGAAAAAATGCTACAGGATGTAACTGAAGAGAGTGCCAGCAAACAAACAAACCCAGTCCATGCCATATCTTTTGCATTTAATACAGCTTCTGCCCTGACCAATTCAGCAACAGAACAACCACTTCCAGCACTATCAATAGCTTCAAAAGAGACTGACATGGCCACCATGCTTGAGATGGAATCGAAGTGTTTGTTATGCTGAGTTTCAAAAAGATTTGAAAAACATGGATGTTTTGCATAATAATCAGCATATAAAATTAATTCTATAGAGGTCATCAGCCTCAAAATAGTCACCACAGAGTTGTCACCAACAAGCAGAATTGACAATGAACTATAGAGGCAGTTGCCATTTGTAGCAGATCTGAAATAATGTTATGTAAATTTCAAATATCATGCTTAAGTTCATTTTTGTATATCTTATCTTAAGTATACTATTGAACACATCAAGAAATAAATCAATAGAAACGTTTTAAATATGATCGAAATTTTAAAATTTGTTTTGTTTTGAATTACATAAATAAAACACAAATAACAAATCCATCGGGCATCACATCAAGTCAATTTATATTTACTTATATATTCTTGTGTAAGCATGCATGCATAACATGTCATAACTTTTCTAACCTTAAGGCAACCAAATTTGTGTTCTTTGTCTTGGCACTCTGCGGTATGTAAAATTCGGCATTGATATTTCGGAAAATATCAACACCGAGACGATCCAACAAACTATCGCTGGTAACAATGCTGTTGACTTTCAGGCAATCCAACATCTCTCCGTAGAGTTGAGCCATAAAAGTCTCATCTTTCCTCGTAAAAGCATCTTCGACTCGATCAGTGAAAGATGCCATGCTTCTCATTAATATTGTTGGTTTTGAAGCTCAAAGATAAAACCTCGGCTATCAACAATCTCAATCTGTGCTGAATTTCGCACAACACCGCTTGAACATTTCAGCAAAATCGGCGGCTCGTTAGTCAGCACAACTACAATTAACCAGAGCCCTCTATTAGTAATATATAGTTATAGAGGGCTCTGCAATAAACCAATAAAGAAACAGATTTTACTCTCCAAATTCAGCACAATTCAAGGCGTGCTGACTCTGTGCGGGTTAGCTATGGCTATTTCTCCCGCAAGTGAATTATAAGTATTTTTAGCCACTTGATTCCTTAATCCCATGCTTAATCCAGGTCTTGGAAACAATAACATTGTTCAGTGAATGCACGTTGTTGCACAAATTTCTCATAATACTATCCCTAACCCAGACAATAGTTTATTTTTCTAATGCTTTCGTTGTGAGGACACAAAAAATTTAATTGACTTTAGGATAACGAATTCATGATCATTATTCACACAACGAAACAAACTACACCATACCGAGACGAGTTCGAACCATCAAAAGACGCATAGGAAAATGCTCTTGGTCCTTTCGACAAAACGAACTTCGTGCCATACAGTGCAAATTGTTTTTATTTTGAGCTAGGGGCATTTAAAATTTGATTAATTTTTTTCGCTGCTGTGAAGAAATTAACTACGTCGCGTGCTGAATGTGACGTAGTTTCAATCCGCCCCTGTGCTTTACTAATTTTTAACTCTAAATATTTTTCTATTTTAAAGATCATATTTCCAACTCAATTATGAATTTCACATAAAACATATTAAAAAATTCATTATGTAGACATTTACCTCTTGTATAGCTTCATTATTTCTAGATGTTGATATATTCGTTCTCAGCGAAAGCAAATCGTACTTGTTCGTCTTCTAATGACAGTGATCTGTTTAGTTATTAATGATAATGATAATGACGCTACTGAATTTTAATGTTGATGAAAGCGACGCTGTTCAATTTATAACGAGTTGTTAGGTGCACCTGCATCTTTTGCTAGCACTGTTTTATGGCTTGCTAGAAGTGGTGCTGTATGTAATGTTGTGATTGATGTTGTTGACTTTAAGGACCCGTATGTGCTTGCTTAATATATAGTTACTATATAATCATCACTACCCATTGTATATATATATAAATTATTATCAAATAAAATGTATACAAAACAGCAAAGTGCTCAATATCAATTTAGATGGAGAAATAGAATTTTAAATTATATTTGAACAATATTTTGATCTGATTCACTACAAGGTGTTTCACGTCCAACGACGATGCTCAGGTGAATGTATTCATAGACACTCTAAACGTCTACAAGCTAAAAACAATCTAAATAGATAATAACTTTCTTATTCTGAAGAAGGCTCGAAGCACCGAGTCGAAAGCTCAATAAAATTTATTCAATAAATCCAAAGAAATTTTTTGTTTTTAAACAATATAATGCCTGGATTACCAATATTTAAGCTTATTTAACCGAAATATTTGACAAATATTCTCAAAAAAACTAGAAAATGGAAATTATTCGCACGCAAAGAGTCTTCGACATTGGAACAGCTAAACTTCCTCCACAAATGCAAACGACAACGAATCCTACCAAACAGCATCAACAACCAACCACCATTAAAAACAACTTACGCTCAACAAATCGCACAATCAAACGGCCGCCGTATGTTAAATGTCCTCATATCAGATGCCCACAACCGCTTACGAATCTCCGTCATAAACTACAAGAACATCGACAAACAGTAACAAGATTCCCTACACAATCAGATGGCAAAAACCACCAGTACACTAAATAACAAAGAACAATTAGAAACCTGCAAAACGACGACCAAATAATCATATTACGAGCTACAAAGGACGCAAAACAGTTATCATGGACAGATCAGAATACATCGACCAAGTCAAAACCCTCCTACAAGACACCACCACCAACGAACCTCTCCACGCAGATCCCACCCAAACGACCACCAACCGCATCAACCAGAAACTGAAACAACTTAAAGACAAAAAGAAAGTTTCACTTACTACCTTATGATTGCTTTAGTGTAAGAAAAAAAGATTAAGGTGTTTTGCAAGTTACTACTCGCATATACCATTAGGCTTGAGCGTCTAAAACTGGGCGGAATTTTTTTTCGCGGGGGAATTCAATATAAGCTCAACAACAGTCGAAGTTCAGTAAATCGTGAAATGTTTATGAGACACCGAAACAAGCTCTTCATTTATTATATGGCAAGCGTCACTTCCGGCAGAATGGCGCGCTTTGATTGGTTCAGAAACATTTTTACCGGTCCATTATTTTCCGTAATGAACCAAGGTCCAAAACGCGTAATTTTACAAAACAAATAATTGCAAACAAACTTCCTAAAGCAAACAGGAAACGTTTTGTAAAACAAAAAACGACGAAATGATCGTCTACAAATGTGAGTCTAAGAAAAAACACTTGGAAAGTGAGTTTTAATAACTAAACAACACAATTTCAAGTGATTTATTTTTACTGACGATTTTACAGGAGTGAAGGCAAAAAAGCGAGGACGAGAAAAGACAGAAAGTTTTATTTCAGGTCAAATAATGCCATATAATAATTCTTTTAATAACCTCGCTTTCTCGGTCTTTTCTGAGAAATATGGGATCTCTGTCTTTGTGTACAAACCTCACCTTACGGGCTCGGTCTGTACTAAAAGACCTCGGGGTCCGTAATTTCTCGAGCTCGATTATTAAGGACTTATTATTAAACGCCAAAACCTTCTCAGTTCTAATTTTCAAATTGATTCATAGAGAATGCATATGAGACGTTTTATATGAACAAGTCTTAAATGCGCCATGCAGACGACAGCGATACAGGTGGGCTATACTAACATAGTAATGAAATTGTTTGAGGGAGCAGAACTATGATTCTTAGTGCAGCCAAAAAAATGTTAATTGTTTTATAGGCGAATTCTAATTGATGTGACAGGCTATAGTTTTATTAATCCAGTGCTTTGACCCCTTGTAAGACAAAATGAATTCTGTTTCGCTTTGCCCCCGTGTCAAATATTTTTACCAATTACCAGGAGAGCAAGAAAGTGATTTCCTTATGAATGCTAGTTCACGCAAATTTTTACCATCACATGGCCTTTTTTGAACAGGGGTAGAAGAAACGAAACGGATGCAAAAAGGATGGAGAAGAATCAAGGGTGTATTGAAGGAAGAGGGGCATTTTAAAATGCTATGTAAAGTTTTAGCAGTGGTAATATATATGAAAGAGCCCCTGTAGTGCTTAGGTGTATTAGAGAGACCATTTGCAATACACCTCTGATAAAAAAGTGTCTAATGAAGATAAAGTAGAAATAAATAAAATGATTGGTTGAACCAAATTTGAAACCATGACCAGTTTTAAATTGCAACTGAATTTTTCGTTGTGTCTGTGCAGGGTAGTTTTAAGTGAGTTTTGAAAATATTATATGGGAATAGCTGAAACACGTTGCAACTTGCACTTTAGTAATAAGGCAGGTGAAGTCCACTAGTAATTGTAACAACTAGAGTAAGTAGAGTTTACATTTAAATGTTTAATTCTCAATTAATTAGTGGTAGATAAGTGCTCCATAAACAAATTGTGAAATGTGCATTGTTTGGTGATAATGAATCAGCGAAAAAATTGAATCATGAAAAAAGCTTTAAGGTCTTTTAGCTATATAAAACGAAGACTTAGTAGAGGTAAGAAACTTTTACTTGGATACTGCTTTGAGTAGCGTATTTTCCATGGTGAATGACAACTACAAATTTCTATGAATAACTGTTAAAAATCAAAATTAAGATATCTTTAAATTACAAGGCACGATGTATTTCCGTGCAGACTTCTCATCAAGTGCTAAGTATACTTTCATGAAAACAAATAGTTCATAGCAACTACCGGCACCTTGCAAACGACTTATTCACAATACAAACAAACGAGCAACTAAAAACCACAATATAAAGAATACACAGTAGGTCCACTTCGTGTGCAACTGGCTGCTGTATATTTACTTAGATTACTGGCTGCCGTTAGGCATTTCATCATTCCTATTGGTCAAAAAAAGCAATTGACTGGCTGCCACTATAGTAATCACATGCGTAATAAAATAAGCGTGGCACGAAAAATGTCTATAGAGTGGCTCTACTGTATATTCACTATACTGTGCTAAAAACATCAAACTTTACACTAACCACAATAACAATACACAATTGACATCCACACATTTCCTGTACACACAATACAATGACGTAAGAACCAGATAACAACTACGGCTAACCTGACGTTTACTCCTCATTTGACTCTGAAGATGATTACCGCTAAGGTTGTTGAAACATCAGTCAACATCAACATCAACAGTCCTTCTCAGGACTCTACTAAACAGGACGATCTACATCTACAAACATGTAAAGTCTACTTATTTGTCGTGAAGACAAGAAATAATGACATCACCCTTAAACGGAGAGGTGACGTTTAAGCGTTTAAAACAGGGATACCTTAACTAACCGTTAATCGTTCAAAATGATGCAGAATGGAGGCTAAAATTCTCTTGTTTTTTGTCACTCTCGGTTTTCTGTTGTTTGATGTTGTAGGCGGCTTTGATAATACAGCAATCAGCCCAGCTCTACCGTGGTTTGTGTACAAATTTTGGAGGTCAGAATACGATAATCCACTGCCAGCATTTTTTTTTGCCATGCTATAAGATATCGGCGCTTGAAAAAAGTTATCACCACTGTACAACTGATATTTCATTGTTTGAAGTAAATTGTATCGATGGTCCAAATATTGCGTATTTTTTAAAGAATCTTCAAACGAAATCAGTTTACAGTTATCGATAATATCGTGTTCAGTCAATTTGATCGGTGAAGAAAATAAAATTCGCTGCAATGCTCTAACATCTTCCGGTCCCTCGTGTGCAGCATATGTTTCACCAAACAAAGTGTCGTACATCGATGGTAGGCTGGAAGAACAACTCTGTCCGTTCGACTGAATCAATGCTGGATGCTTCATTTTAATTAAATGCCTGAACAAAGGAAGACTGTCGCCAAAAATAATCTTCAAAGCTCGCATTGATGCATGGATATGATTGTCACTGTTGCGAAGAAGCATTGGTGTGTCAAACAACTTTGCATTGTGGCCAATTAAAACAGTGCATACGTCTTTGTTGGTTCTAGCTTTGCTTGTGATCATGTAATCTTTGATGTATTCCACGAATAGCGAAAGAGCCTCTTGACAGGTAAGTGACTCCAACGCCTCATCATCTTTAAAAAGTGTTCGTCTTCCATCAACTGTTTGCACTGACAGTTTATTAACGAGGGTAGCATCATAATCAATGTCATCATCAGGTAAAATGTATTTTGAAAACATATTTTGACCTGTTTTGTCGACAGCTGAAAGTTGACATAACTCGGCACCTCTATATAATGAGGTTGTTTCAATATCAAACACGATGATATTGTATTCAATATGGATGTTGAATTTTTTAATTTCACAACTTGGCGTTGGGGTGAAAGTAGAGATTGCTTCTTCATAATGAAGTAATATTTCGCTTGGGATACTTCTCTTAATTAATGCACTTAGCTCTGTGATTGATGTGCTTCCACCAGTTCCAGGCTCTGACTGATTCAAACTCATGCCTCTGTCGGAAAGATACGCTTTGCTCTCTTGTTTTCCTTTTCGAACAGTGCTTTGATATCTTTACCTAAAGCTTTGAAAGTAGAAAAAATGATATCATAGTCAACATTGGTCTGGGTAAAAGCACAAGCCAAGGGGATTTTATAGACGACTGAACAGATGCTTTTAAATTTTTAATGATGATAGTGACGCTGTTTAATTAAGGTTAATGATCGTGACGCTGTTCATTATTAATGTGAATGAAGTGACGCTGACGCTGTTTAATTATTAAGGTTAATGATCGTGACGCTGTTCATTATTAATGTGAATGAAGTGACGCTGACGCTGTTTAATTATTAAGGTTAACGATCGTGACGCTGTTCACTATTAATGTGAATAAAGTAACGCTGTTTAATTATTAATAATGATATAGTGACGTTGTTTATTTTTATTGTTAATGAAAGTGACGCTATTTGAATATCAATGATAATGATAATGATGCTGTTTAATTATTGATGATAATGACACTGATGCTGTTCAATTATTGATGGTAATGACAGTGACGCTGACGCTGTTTAATTATTAATGATAATGAAACTGACGCTGTTCAGTTGTTGATAATGATATTGACGCTGTTTAATTATCCATGATAATAACACTGACGCTGTTGAATTATTGATAATGATAGTGATGCTGTTTAATTATTAATGATAATGAAACTGACGCTGTTCAATTGTTGATAATGATACTGACGCTGTTTAATTATCCATGATAATAACACTGACGCTGTTCAATTATTGATGATAGTGATGCTGTTTAATTATTGATAATGAAACTGACGCTGTTCAATTGTTGATAATGATACTGACGCTGTTTAATTATTAATAATAATAACACTGACGCTGTTCAATTATTGATGATAGTGATGCTGTTTAATTATTAATGATAATGAAACTGACGCTGTTCAACTGTTGATAATGATACTGACGCTGTTTAATTATCCATGATAATAACACTGACGCTGTTCAATTATTGATAATGATAGTGATGCTGCTTAATTATTAATGATGATACTGACGCTGTTCAATTATTGATAATGATAGTGACGCTGCTAAATTATTAATGATGATACTGACGCTGTTCGATTGATGATCACACTAATGCTGTTCAATTACTGATGATAATGAACCGACCCTCTTCGATTATTGATGATAATGACACTGACGCTGTTCAATAATTGATAATGATAATGACGCTGTTTAATTATTAATGATGAAACTGACGCTGTTCAATTATTGATGATAATGAAACCGACGCTCTTCGATTATTGATGATAATGACATTAACGCTGTTCAATTATTAATGATGAAACTGACGCTGTTCAATTATTAATGATAAAACTGACGCTGTTCAATTATTGATGATGATACTGACGCTGTTGAATTATTAATGATAATTATACTGACGTTGTTCAATTATTGATGATAATGAAACTGACGCTGTTCGATTATTGATGATAATAATACTGACGCTATTCAATTATTGATGATGACAGTGACGCTGTTTAATTATTAATGATAATGAACTGACACTGTTCAATTATTGATGATAATGAAACCGACGCTGTTCGATTATTGATGATAATAATACTGACGCTTTTCAATTATTGATGATAATGATACTGATGCTGTTCAATTATAAATGATTATGATACTGATGCTGTTTAATTATAAATGATGATACTGACGCTGTTCAATTATTAAAGAGAATGAAACCTACGCAGTTCAATTATTGATGATAATGATACTGATGCTTTTTAATTATTAATCACAATAATACTGACGCGATGTTGAGCAATGACATTTTAAGTTAACAGATAATGAAAAATTTCTCCTTTGGGCAGCACCTGCATCTTTTTCTGGCGCTGATGTATAGTTTGTTAGAAGTGACGATGTTCGATAAGATGTCTTGGTTCATGTTGTCTTTAGGACCAATAAGTGTTATCTTAACATATTCTTTACTATATAAATTATATACGTATCCATTAATTAAAATCCCCTGAAGAGTGAGTTGTTGAAATGCAAGCCACTAGAATGTTGCAATAATGGCTTTGTATAACACCATTCTTCCTGACATGACTTTTTGAAATGTTAGAGAGCACGTTTTCAACTATTATTGTGTACTTCGAACTTTGAGAAACAAGTGTCTTATGCACAATGTAGCCGATATACAGAGTGTCATCAGAAAAACGAGACCGTACAAATAATTTGTATGCATTAAAAGGAAATCTGCAATAGAAAATTTAGTCGGCAATAGCTATTTGCTCTACCCGGTTAATTTAGTAACACGCTTGTTTGTTGCAAAATGTTCGTAGCAACTATAGGAAAATGTGAATATGTTTTTATGGTTGCTATCCCTAAGTTATTGTCGCTTTGATTTTACAAAGCATTGGCGTAATAGATTTGAGACAAAAATCATCATTGTACTTGTCAATTGTACAAGTCAATTGGTGATGGCCGTGTTTGAATACGTTCATTTGTATTAATCTTTTACAACATTTGAAACATCATGGCTTTCATTTCTTTAGTCACTGGGGATATATTTTGTAGTACATCATTTGTTTCTTTCCTAAATTCTATCATCCCTTTCCTAGATTTTATCATTTTTTTCATAAAATGCGTCATTTCAATGCGCACCTCTGGCAAATTGACAACATACATCAATAAATGTTCTATCCATGTCTTGTCTTAATTTTATTTCTACTTCATTCATCTGCATTTTCACTTGGTCCTCAAAACTTCGTTAAAACATTTCTCTTATCTCTTCAAAGTAGTGAGAAGCAATCTCTCTGTATTCACATAACTCAGTTTCATGTTTAATTTTGTCTTGTTTGTCTCTTGACCACAACACTAGAGCGAAGCCACAATATTCAACATGTATTTGAAGATATTTAACATATATAAACTCAGAACAATCACAAACGGCGAAGTCGCAACTGATCTCAAACATAGAAACCAAGTTATTTATAATACGTGCTGGAAGAAGTGTAGCAAGTTATGTTGACATTGAGGACATCTTTGTGCATTAACTCGTAGATGTTCTTCAATACATTCACGACAAAAGATGTGTTGATTATGTTGACACATTCTGGCATCTTTAACAACGTTCAGGCAAATCGAACAATGAAAGTTTTCGTCAACAGCAGTCTTAAATCTCGATTCATCACATCCACTTTTATAATCATTTCGATAGCACGCCATTTCCGAATATATTTCTGAATAATCTAATGTCAAACTTACTCTAAGAGGTAGAAAATTATTTGTTTAACGTCACATTTTGCAACTAGAGAAAGCGTTCAAAATCTTCTATAAGATATTACGTTGACTAATCGCAGAAGTTAGAACAATCAGACAAATTCGTTCAAATATAAATATGCAGTGCGTATATGTGTAGTACTCAAGCATGGCAAACAAAGAAAAGTCCACAAAATTAAGTGCATCGATGAACACAGTTCAAATGATATTGGAACTATTGTCATCAATATCAACAGTTAAATAAACATCGAGATAATCATGTACGAAAACTTCATTGTTTACAGCTAATGCTCATAGAAAACAAATAGAACGAACGGGCTGTAAGTCGGAATAGCATGGCTTTGCTTCTCACAAAATTTCACCGTAAAAATGCCAAGAAAGCGTCAAAATATTATTCTCGCTTCATTTTTTCACGCTCAGGTCACACGAACCAATTATTAATAATAATCGTTTTATTATTGCTAGTACACTCAAGCTTCAAATGCATGTCACGTGACTGTATTCATATCACATTCAATAATCATTATTTAGGTCCTCACTTTTTGATGGTAAATTTCTAAAAAAATTTTATTTGTCTAATGTTGCCCAATATTACAAGTTCGATACTTTGGAACAAGGAGAGCTTTACTCTTAATTCTTCATGAAAGTATAGTTAGTGACTACATAGTTTGAAACAGGGAGAGGTGTATCCTTCACTCTCTATGAAAGTATAGTTAGTGACTACATAGTTTGAAACAGGGAGAGGTGTACCCTTCACCCTCCATAAAAGTATAGTTAGTGACAACATAATTTGAAACAGGGAGAGGTGTACCCTTCACTCTCCATGAAAGTATAGTTAGTGACTACTTAGTTTGAAACAAGGAGAGGTGTACCCTTCACTCTCTATGAAAGTATAGTTAGTGACCACATAGTTTGAAACAGGGAGAGGTGTACCCTTCACCCTCCATGAAAGTATAGTTAGTGACAACATAGTTTGAAACAGGGAGAGGTGTACCCTTCACCCTCCATAAAAGTATAGTTAGTGACAACATAGTTTGAAACAGGGAGAGGTGTACCCTTCACTCTCCATGAAAGTATATTTAGTGACTAAATAGTTTGAAACAGGGAGAGGTGTACCCTTCACCCGCCATAAAAGTATAGTTAGTGACTACATAGTTTAAAACAGGGAGAGGTGTACCCTTCACTCTATATGAAAGTATAGTTAGTGACTACATAGTTTGAAACAGGGAGAGGTGTACCCTTCACCCTCCATAAAAGTATAGTTAGTGACAACATAGTTTGAAACAGGGAGAGGTGTACCCTTCACTCTCCATGAAAGTATATTTAGTGACTACATAGTTTAAAACAGAAAGAGGTGTACCCTTCACTCTATATGAAAGCATAGTTAGTGACTACATAGTTTGAAACAGGGAGAGGTGTACCCTTTAATCTCCATGAAAGTATAGTTAGTGACTACATAGTTTGAAACAGGGAGAGGTGTACCCTTTAATCTCTATTAAAGTATAGTTAGTGACAACATAGTTTGAAACAATGAGAGGTGTACCCTTCACCTTCCATGAAAGTATATTTATTGACTAAATAGTTTGAAACAGGGAGAGGTGTACCCTTCACTCTCCATGATAGTATAGTTAGTGACTACATAGTTTGAAACAGGAGAGGTGTACCCTTCACTCAATATGAAAGCATAGTTAGTGACTACATAGTTTGAAACAGGGAGAGGTGTACCCTTTAATCTCCATGAAAGTATAGTTAGTGACTACATAGTTTGAAAATGGGAGAGGTGTACCCTTTAATCTCTATTAAAGTATAGTTAGTGACAACATAGTTCGAAACAATGAGAGGTGTACCCTTCACCTTCCATGAAAGTATATTTATTGACTAAATAGTTTGAAACAGGGAGAGGTGTACCCTTCACTCTCCATGAAAGTATAGTTAGTGACTACATAGTTTGAAACAGGGAGAGGTGTACCCTTCACTCTCCATGATAGTATAGTTAGTGACTACATACTTTGAAACAGGGAGAGGTGTACCCTTCACCCTCCATGAAAGTATATTTAGTGACTACATAGTTTGAAACAGGAGAGGTGTACCCTTCACTCTCCATGAAAGTATATTTAGTGACTACATAGTTTGAAACAGGGAGAGGTGTACCCTTCACTCTATATGAAAGCATAGTTAGTGACTACACAGTTTGAAACAGGGAGAGGTGTACCCTTTAATCTCCATGAAAGTATAGTTAGTGACTACATAGTTTGAAACAGGGAGAGGTGTACCCTTTAATCTCTATTAAAGTATAGTTAGTGACAACATAGTTTGAAACAATGAGAGGTGTACCCTTCACCTTCCATGAAAGTATATTTATTGACTAAATAGTTTGAAACAGGGAGAGGTGTACCCTTCACTCTCCATGATAGTATAGTTAGTGACTACATAGTTTGAAACAGGGAGAGGTGTACCCTTCACTCTATATGAAAGCATAGTTAGTGACTACATAGTTTGAAGCAGGGAGAGGTGTACCCTTTAATCTCCATGAAAGTATAGTTAGTGACTACATAGTTTGAAAATGGGAGAGGTGTTCCCTTTAATCTCTATTAAAGTATAGTTAGTGACTACATAGTTTGAAACAATGAGAGGTGTACCCTTCACCTTCCATGAAAGTATATTTATTGACTAAATAGTTTGAAACAGGAGAGGTGTACCCTTCACTCTCCATGATAGTATAGTTAGTGACTACATAGTTTGAAACAGGGAGAGGTGTACCCTTCACTCTCCATGATAGTATAGTTAGTGACTACATACTTTGAAACAGGGAGAGGTGTACCCTTCACTCTCCATGAAAGTATAGTTAGTGACAACATAGTTTGAAACAGGAGAGGTGTACGCTTCACTCTCTATGAAAGTATAGTTAGTGACTACATAGTTTGAAACAGGGAGAGGTGTACGCTTCACTCTCCATGAAAGTATATTTAGTGACTACATAGTTTGAAACAGGGAGAGATGTACCCTTCATTCTTCATAAAGCATATTTAGTGACTACATAGTTTGAAACAGGGAGAGGTCTATAATTCAAAGTTCTAATCATGACAATCCTCAACTGTAATCATGACAATTCTGACAATCATGATAATCATTAGAGGTGCCTGCAATAGGGGGCATAGAGGGGACTGCTCCCAACATTTCCCATAGTAAGGTCTTTATATATGTTACTTAAAAATGTCAGTGGTAGCAAACAATATGTAATATATGTAAGTAACATTTTGGGAGTGTTCACCTCCACCCCCCTCCAAAAATAAAATCCTGCCGGTAGCATGATAATCATGATAATCCCTAACAATAGCTGGCTTTTTTATATGAATACATAAAATAACAATTTTGAGTGGAGACAATTTCTCAAATTCAAGCACATTTCCCGGTACTTACAGTTTTAACTTGTTCTCCTCTTAAAATGTAGTTATCAACAAAAGAGTCAACTTCTTCTTAATTGTGGAACATAGAGGAATTTATGTCTTGGCAAGCACTGGACCTTCCCTGATGTCTTTTTCCTCACATGACCAAAACAAGCATCAGTTGATTCAATCTGAGTGTACCAGCTTCATTAGACTGTCAAATGATAAAATGAATAATAATAATGCTTGTCGAATAAAAGCATTAAAAACAACTTTTGATAAACATTGTGCTTAATGGCTAACTAGGTAAATTCAGTCATTCAAATTCAAGTCTCTATCAGGTTTGTGGTATAAGAAAGCTAACTTTCACCTAATTGCAAGAAATACACAATTGTAAATTTTGTATCCTTTCAAACTAAATGGGCACAAAGGCACAAATTCTTCCTGGACATTTTGTTTTAGAAGTAGGCAATAACTTCTCAACAAATGCTAATGATACACCATTGAAACATTGAAACCAAAAAAAATACAAGCCTACACTGTCTGTCAGCTGTCATATGTGACCTTTAAAAAGTCCTTTCAACACTTACACAGTATTTTCTGCATCAAAGTTTACAGGAAAATGATACTTTATGAAACTAATTCATGTTACAAACTGAAACTAATCAAATCAGACACTGTACAGAATTGAATCCATGTTCCTAATCTATAACAAAATAAAATTATTTAATCTTTTGTAATGGACCATAATGTCATAGTTTAAGAAAACAAAAAGTTTTTCTATATTTTAGGCAGCTAACTGGTAATTGTTAAGAAGTTTTATAAAGAAGCTATCACACAGCTCTTGGGCATTTTCAACACATCTACACAAAGTGGATGAATAAAAGTAAATTGTGTAATTTCTTTTTCCACAGTTTTTGAAATGCATACTTACCCACAATGGTAAAGAGAAGCACTTTGTCAATACTTCAGGAGCGTCAACATATTTTGAAGTAAGACATAGCATTGAAGGAAGTAAGGTTTCCACCAACTCCAATTTAAGGCTAAAATTTCAATTGTATCTTATTAATGTTGTCGAAACCTTTTTCACACTTACAAAAATAAAGTATTTTCTGGTGTTGCCTGCCTAGTTGAAAAATAAACAGCAATTACTGGTTATTATGGTCATCATGATAAAGCATAAACAGATGACTAAAAAAGAGGACAGTGATGAAATATGTTCTTGGCAATGAAAATTTAGAATTGACATAAAGCTATTATTAAATAAACCATAAAGAGGAATTTTGATTAAAAAAATTTAACATGCAAAGCGCCTTTTGATATTTTGTCTTTCCCTTCTCTTGACTCATGACTATGAGTACTCATAATAGGACAATGCTGAAAGCACAACCTTATTTTTGTATGAGCACTCGTAAAAACGTAATTCTACCCCGAACACACTACATTGAGAGCATTTTCTTCATCAAGAAAAACTTCTTCAATTTATCCATTTAACAGATTCTCCTAAGGCTTGGCAGCTTTGAAATTCCTTTTCCAGTCTGTTATAAGAATTTGATGTAAAAGCATGCTCTACATCACACAGCTCACCTTCATCAATGGCGCTCTATGCGCTAGAAAGTACATTTGTTGACTTTAATTAATTTGAAATAAAACTCGAAACTTTAACGGCGATATTCCTCGTAACTTTTCTGCCACTAGTAGAAATATTTGCTGTTAGGCTGTTAACAAAATAAACCGCCGCTTAAGTTTGAGAGGAGATTGGGCTTTGGAGGTTATTCATCAGGCGAGTGATGTTGCCTATGGCAACGGTGTTGACAGATCAGTGATGAACTCTAGACTGAAGCGATAACTCAATGGATAACTCCAACACAAAAGCATGACAAAAACACTGATCTGGAAATAAGACTGAATCAAGCACCTAGCACAAAAGTTGAAGACAAAAAATAAGGAGCGCCGCCATTACTAAGAGACCAATTTTCGAAAATAAGGAGCAAATATATTGTGGATTTATACGAGAATAATCATGAATTTTCAACATGTAACTGCATGAACAGAACTAAGAGTAAATCAGTTTATAGATAAGCAAAAAATACGATGAAATATGATAAAAATGCAGTGATTTTTGTCATCGGTAACTCTACTTTGCTATGGAAAATTATTTTTCTTCTTTCAAGATAAGATCTCTATTCTCATTTAAAGATCCGCTTCCTGAACTTTTGAAATCTAAGGTAGTTTATCAACTTTCATATGCGGGATGTAATTCCCGCTATATTGGTGAAACTTCACGTCAATTATCTACCCGGATAAAAAATACTGTAATATATATTCTCATTTTGTAACTCTCGAGTTGGTGCAACCCTCGACCTCGGGTTGCACCTACTCTCGAGCATGTGCAACCCTCGACCTTCGGTCACGGGCTTGCACTGATCTAATCTCGAGTTATCCAAAAGGTCTCCTTGACTTGCATAAGCCTGTGCAGACACAGTAAACATCTTTTATTTCTTAAAAATTTAACATAGTGAGATATAAACCCGTAAATATTAAATAAAGCAACTATTGAAAAACAGTCTTGACAACTTTTCTTACCCTCTTGGTGTTACAACTGCATGCTGTCTATGATTATTTCTATATTTTTAATTTATTTCGATGTAAAGATCGAACGCTTTAACAAGTTTGAATGTTCAATTCAAAAACATGTAGCGATATTGAATACGAAAATGCTAAAACTTAGTAAAAAAGATGAATATTATTATCATTATGTACATTGAAAAAGTGTTGTGCAACATCATATTATAAGAAATTATGTGTTAGCCGAATACAGTGCTTTGCCAACAAAATAGCTGTGTAAAAATGTAAAAAAATGACATTGTGACTGGGAAAAAAATTTCAGATTTCAAAAGAAAAAGTTCAAGAAAAGAGAAAGCCAAATCATTACCAAGAATGACTTAGGATCACGTGTCCCAGCTCCAGAGACAATGACATCTCCATGATCAATGTCTCGAATTTTCCAATGAACCTTTGGGTTTCAGCATTAACAATGACGACCATTTTCGATTTCGTAGCAACTGAAATGATCCATTTTCCGCTTATGAACAATTTTCGCTGTCTATTTCCGCCTGCGAACTCAACATCATTGATATATGATAAAGCTCTAACACCGTCATTGAGAGCAGAATTCAAATAAATTACAGCCATTCTATTTACGGTTTGAAGCGTCAAGAATGCATAATGATGATAAACATAATGAGGTTTGATTATAGTAGATTTTTCTTCAATTTTTTCACGCTTGGTGTAAAAAGCCACATCTGCTACACCACCAGGGATGGAAAGCTTAACCCGGGGCCGGGGCTTTGGACGAGACAGATAAATTACGTGTGAAAAAACTTTTTTGGCCTTTGTTCTCTAACAAAACGAGATGACGGTCATCAGGCGAAATGTAGATGGTCCCCGGGATGAAAAATGGATCGATTACTTTATCAGTCGAAGGGTTGATTTCGAATGTTTTTTTGGCTCTATTATTACCCAAGCAGTTTAAGAAAACACTCTGAGTAAGACTAGAGAATACCGCTTTTCCAGTGCCCATACAGCCGCGACTTGAAAAATTTCGAAAATCGACTATTGTTTTGTCCACCAAATTCACTTTATGTGATCTGCTGTTTAAATAGTGCGTGAAGTAACCGTATTGACCATTCAATAATTTCTCATGTGCTAGAATATCACCTTCCAAATATCCTAAAACGACATTGTAAAGATCTATGAATTTATACACATATCCAAAGTGAATCAAACAGAGTAGAGAACAAAATGTAACGCCACCTCTGAAATATTTTTTGTCGTATGACATACTTAGTATGTCGTTACCAAAATGAATTGATTCAATCAGTCCCTCTCAAATCAAAAGTGAAAGGAAAGCACGAGAAAATCAAAAACAGAGCTGCAATAACTCAAATAAATCACGTTCTGTAGATGTTTTAAAATGTCTATATTTTGTTTATGCAATTGGGCTATGTAAATAGTTCAAAATTTTTGAAAACCTATTTGCAAAGTACTTTATATTTACAAAACTTGATCTTTGCTCGTTTTCTTGAGCTCCAACATAGTCGGTGATTATTTGCTTGACAGCAAAATTAAAAAAAAATGGGGCGAGAGCTCATATCCGACGTCATATCAAGAAAACGCTTTACGAAAACACTGTATTTAAGCCTAATCTCCTCAAAAGCATAGATATTTTGTTGCATTACACACGCGACATCATGTGTCGTGAATATTCAAAAACATCAATTTGTGTAGGTAATAGCATGATTTCGAGTGCAATTGGGAAAACATGCACGAGTGAGTTTTTCAAAAATTATGAAAATTGAAGTCTTTCCAAAACTCAGGAGTGCTTCTTTTTTGAGTTGCGCCAGAAACTATGCTGTTTCTTATTAAGAAAATGATGAAGAAATTTATTTATTCTGCTGATTTTTAAGCCGGCAATTATCAATATCCACCTTAGCTTCCATCATAGTCGTACGAGAGCTTCAATTTCTAAGGGGAGTGGTAGCTGACTTGCCTGAATTTCAAACGCATTTCTAAGAATCGCTGAGAGTAATTATTTATGATCACATGCAGATTTTGTTTTCAAATCAATTTGTTGAATGAGCTCATTTTTTCAAGCCTGTGGGAACTGATTCCGAAGTGGTTGGGTTGCTTAAAGACTCTCTAGGATGGTCTGGGGGCATTCATCCCAAGGATATTTTGAACATTTTAAAACTAGAAAATAAAGTAAAAGCAGTGAAAATAAAATGAATACAAGATATTTTGTACGAAGTGGGAAATCACCATCCTAACAGACTTCCAAACCTCAGTCATTTGCTTTCCCAAAAATAGACTCTTCCCAAATTTTAAAGGGCTATCGCTCCCCATCCCCCTCGACCCGTACGCCTATGGCCACCACATGCGCAGATAGTACAAGGCACTTATTTTTAGTAGTGTTCATATTTTTGTCCAGAGACATTTTGCGAACCGTAAACAGTTGACTTGGTCACCAAAAAAATTCTACTTAAAACTTACACCAGCCATTGTAATTGCTTCGTTTACAATAACGTAATTTTCCTGCCTTTGAAATGTTTTATTTTGAATGGCTCTTATAGATCACGTTTTTGTTTGAATAACCAATCAGAAGTAATATTTCCAAAATAATTAGCATTTGTTTCCATATAGTCACTGATAATACAAGAGATTATTGAGACAATAAACAACACTTTAGTTGAGTATAACAGTTGGTTTGCATGGATAGAAAGACGTAGCTAATACGCTTGTTTTAACTTACACCTAATTTTTTTCAACATAGTAGCTACTGGTATGTCATGGTATATCAGTACAATTTTTGGCAGTAAAATTGAGTTGTATAATTGTTTTTTTTTGTTTATATTAAATATGAGGTAAATATTGATTAGTTGATATCGTATATAAAATATCTGTGGTTGTTATACAATGATGGTCCAATCTCGATTGTGATTGCCTAAGAACCTACAAACAATTCTCAATGTCTTGCCGCCTACAGGACATTGAAAATTATCAGTAGATGAGGTAATTTTTAATGTGACAACTGACAACAGAATAAGTGCCATGGCGGAATTTCGCTCGACATTTGCAAGCATTTTACAAATTGTTTTCACTGGAATTATTGAGAATAAAGACAAAAAACACGAAAAGCGTTACAATGCCAGTCGAACGGCAAAAATTATTTTATGTCGAAGCACAGAAAACTTTGAAAAGCAGAATAGATTGATTAAAATTGCTTCGCATGACATTGTATAAGAATGTATTTCATTTACCAGCGAATATTGGTTTGAGCATCTAAAACTATGATCACATGATTTTTAAAAAATTCTAAACTTGATTTGTGAGTCACTGAGAGGCGAAATTATTTTTAACGCCACGATGCCTTCTTTACTTAGTTTCAATTTGATGGGGATCCCGATATTTTTCCCAATTTTACGTTGAATGTACAGAGGAGTGTTTTCACTGTCCGCCATGCTCGTAAAAAAAACCATAAAGGAGCTTAAGAATTCGGCAAATTTTTGAATTTCAATGCCTGATCTCTATGTACTCATCACACGGTTGTTTTATTGTGCATATTTTGCAGCTAGAATTTATGCTGAATACTTAAATTGCCAGGAATGAGAAAAGCATTTGTGTTTGTGACAAAGATATGTAACATATTCACGTAGCTGACAAAAATTTTACGCTTGCATAGGCTTTGCATGGTGTGCATTGAAATTATGACAATAGGTTGATTCGTAAAGATCTTTCTCTTACGCACCCTGTAAAAGTGAAAGTTTCCTGAACCCCTTAGAGTAAATTTTTCACATGTTTGAATCCCACCGCGATATTACATTTTCTTTCCTTACGGCACAACTGCAAAATAGTCAACTAAAAATATTCCCTTTTGAGCAGCAAATAAATCACCAAAAATCAAGACAAGCATCGCCAAAATTGTTTTTGTTGGATACTGAAAACCGTCTAGCTGGTTTCATGTTAATATTCTTCAATAAGTGCGCACCAAAAACATCAGCGATTGTTAAAACCGTTTGAACGATAGAACGCAACTATAACTCTTTACATACAGAAAAAGATATATCAAAATGTAAAAATATTATCAAAAAATGCCTTGTTCATGGCATAGTTCACAAAATAGTCATTACTTGCTTGTGTTGGAGTAAAGACCAAATTAAGTTAACTTTACGCCTTGACTTTCAACCTGT